CTGATATCTCGACGGCCACAGGCCACGCCCCGGTGCAAAGCTGTGCCCGCAGATGTCAGCTTGCGATTGAGGCAACTCTGCGTGGGAGGGCTCAGGGCGCAGGGTCCAAACACTTGGGACTCTAAACTCTAAACTTAAACCCGGAACCCAAAACCACAAGACGCCGTTTTCTTACGACTGAGATATGAAGGGTACCCTAGACCTTAAGGTGTCAACCCGATGAGCCTTGCACCCTGAACCCCACAATCCTCAATCCTAAACCCCTACCTTCAATCCTTTTGGGATTCGGGAGGCTTCCCTGAACTGAAGCTTTCAGACGAGATGCGAACAGCAACAACTTCAACGGGTCTTGCTTGGGGCTAGGGCCATAGAGCAACTTAACATTTAGGGTTCAGGGTGAGGGCCTCGGTTTCGCAGCTGAAGCGTTGTAGCGCTTGGCGTGCAGGGTTGGCTCAGATGCCAGGCAGTGAGGACGAGCGGACGCCAAACCCATCTAAACCCTTAACTCACGGCCCTCTGGTCCCTAAAGCCAGAACCTGCAACCCTAAACTCTATAAACCTGCAACCCTAAACCCTATAAACCCGAAAGCCAGCTCCTAAAGCCAGAAACCTGCAACCCTAAACCCTAAAGCCAGTCCCTAAAGCCAGAAACCTGCAGACCCTAAACCATAAATTGCCTATTCTTCACGTCGGAAACACCCCAGCTCGCAAACGTTTTTGTGCATGTGACAACCCACTGACATGAACGCTTTTCTGATCTTTGGGCCAGTGGGGTTTTTGGGAGTTTAGGATTTTGGTTTTAGGGCTGTGGGTTTTGGGTACTAATTGGAGGTTCATGGTACTTATAACCCTACTCATATTATAACTCTACTTACAAGCCCCCGAAGTCCCCATGTAGGTTATAAGTAGACTCATAACTGGTTATGAGTACCCATGAACCTCCAAGTACATTTTGAGGAGAATGCCGTTTCCATGCTGCCAAATCCCTAAACCCTAAACCCTAAAACCCTAAACCCCAAATCCTAAACTTTCACACTTGCCGTTTGGCCTGCTGACGACGACGCGGTCGGAGTTCTCAACGTCAGATCCTGGATATTCATCACCGAGGGTTTAGGGTTCAGGGCTTAGGGTTGCGTTGAAACCTAAGAAAAGGGTTCTGGATGCACATCTCATCCGAGAAATGTGCTTGGTACTCCGCAACCGGAGGGATCGTAGACTTACCAACTGATGCGATCTTGGAATGCTATACCAAGCCGAACGGCAACTATTCTAAACGGAACCCGAAACCCTCGCTCTTCTAAACCCTAAACCCTAAGCCCTAAACCCTAAACCCTGAACCTTCTAAAGTCTCCAAAGCCAAAGTCCTGCTGCCTTGCCAGTGAATGTGCCGGCTGCACAGCGGGGCAGACGTGCAACTGCAAGGACTGCACATGCATTGCACTCGCTATAGGGGTTTAGTTGTTAGGGTTTAGGGTTTAGGGTTTAGGGCGTAGGGCTTGGCAGCTGTTGGTTCATGGGGGTTAGGGTTTTATTCGGGTTATCAGGCTTAAGGGTTTAGGGTTAATGAGGTTTCGGGGTTTAGGATTTAGGGTGTAGAGTTTCTCCTGAACCCCAACACTTATGTCAAGAGTGGACTGGATGATCGGTCGGGGAGAGGTTTGGCCATGTGCGCGAGGAAGCCTCCCTTGACTTCCCTTATGTGCCACCGTGCCTAGTAGAAGGCGTCGACAAATGCGGCACAGATTAGAGAGAGAGAGAGAGAGAGAGAGAGAGAGAAACGAAAACACACACACAGACACTTTGGCGGCTTGGCATGAACTGATGCCGTGTGCAATCTCAAGGGTGTTTTGGGGCATGAAGGTGACATGAAGATTTTTCCCAGACAGGCCAGACACAAGGAATGGCATGTGCAAACTTGATGAGATGATGCAAACATGAGGTAGGGTCCTGCCTCGCTGTGCCAGACTCAGAGGACTGGTACAACACGAAATGAAGTGGACATGAAAATGAGAGTGAGGGCCCTGCCAGCTACTCTATACAGAGTCCAGGCACAGACCCATGCAGGTACGTTTACCTGGGGTGTGGGGGGGGGGGGGAGCTTCGGTGGGCAGAGCCACCCCCACACCCCCTCTGCCCCCCTGCAGACTGGAAACTGATCACATGACGGAGAATTACTGATCACCATGTTCAGGTGTTTACACGAGCCTGCGGGAACGAAGAGTTTAATGAGAGAAGAAGGAGTGTGCTGGGCGGAGCGCGAAAGGGAACAATCGGGAAACTGTGTGGGAGGGAACGGCCAGGGAGGGAAGAAGGGAGGGACTCCTGGCTTTCGAACGCAAGAACTCTGCGCGTGGATCAACGCCCGACGTCAAAGCCCGGTTTGGGCTTAGGGAAGTTTAGGGTGTAGTGGCAGAACCCTAAACCCTAAACCCTCTAAACCCTAAACCCTAAACCGTGGCCCACGTCACGCCTCGGAAGGTCACTTGTGCCAGTGGTTATGCGCCCTTCACGGATGTCAATGAGGCTGCGGCCACAGGGATCGATGTTCCGCTGCTTAGGGGGTTTGGGTATGTAGGGTTTAGGGCTTAGGGTTTAGGGTTTAAGGTTTAGGGCTTAGGGTTTGGGTATTCAGGGCTGTGCTCAAAGAGCCCAATACCGCTTAAGCAGGGAACCCGGTATGGTCTAAGGTTTATTCCGTAGTTCAGGATTGTTGGCCTTTCTGGGTAGAGGGTCATGAGGCCCTCATCCAAAAAGCCTCTAAATTCTTCAACTCCATGTCCCACACGGTTAAGTGCGTTCTTAAGTTACCTCCAAACCCGAATCCCTAGACCCTAAACCTAAGCCAAACAGCATGCAAAATCTGAGGCCCCGAAAAAGCTGCAATCATTCCAAACATGCCATCCAGCAGGGGTAGGTTTGAGCAAGTTTTAATTGTTGTTGTCCTTAATCCCCTAGATAATCCTGATGAACGCCATAAAAATCAATTTTTATAGGGCTCCCAAACCTACCCCAGTGAGAATTCCTCAAGTTGAAACCCTGAACATCCTTAATTCCTAAACCCCTAGATACACTAAGCATCCCTAACCTAAACCCCCAAATCCTAAACCCCCAAACCCCAGCCCCAGCCCTAAACCCTGCCCCAAACCCCAAACCCCAAACCCCAAACCCTAAATCCTGAACCCTAAACCCTAAACCCTGCACCCTACACCCGAAACTCTAAACCCTAAACCCTAAACCCTAAACCCTAAACCCTAAACCCTAAACCCTAAACCCTAAACCCTAAACCCTAAACCCTAAACCCTAAACCCTACCTCTCCTCCAAGCGACTCCCGAGGGCGCGAAGGCGTGCAGCATCGACCCCAACTATGTGGCAGCCCTAGGCAAGGTCAGAGAAGGCAAACAGGCAGAGTAAGGGTTTGGGGTTTAGGGTTTAGGGTTTAGGGTTTAGCGTTTAGCGTTTAGGGTTTAGGTTTTAGGGCTTAGGGTTTAGGGTTTAGGCTGAGGGTTTGGGGTTTGGGCTCAGGGTATCCAGCAGCACGAATGGCTTGGGCAATGTATAGGGCCTAGAGAGTTTTGGGGTGTCGGGTTAGAGTCGGGTTTGTATACAAGGGTCCAAAAGGTTAGACCGCATGGTCGCAGTGCTGAGCTTATAAGTGTACTTGTAACCATACTAAGGCACTTAAGGGGCTGACAAGTGGGTGACAAGTGCAGTTGTATTCATTGGTTAATAACTACCAGAAGCTCCAAGTATGGCCAGGAGCCAGTCGAGCTTCGCCCTGCTCTTTGACAAATTGGCGCCACGCATTGCTGAGCTTCTCTTCCCGGGCGAGCCTCATCGCTTCCAAAACTTCTCAAGCACCTCTGCTTGCCGGACCCCCCGCTTCCGGTCGGCTCAATTCAGGAAGCTCCTACTGTTCAACGTCGTGTTCTTGATCCCGGGACTTGCTATCAATCGGCTGGCGGAGGCAGAAAGCTATACGGAATATTTGCGGTCTGTTCCGGGACAGTGATCGCGCAGAAATGGGAAAAGCTCCTCAGGGTTACCATAACTTTGCAGGGTTCAGGGTTTAGGGTTTAGGGTTTAGGGTTTAGGGTTACTACCACCTACTTGGAGGTTCATGGCAATTACTTATTAACGTACATAAACCCTATTAGGGCACTTAAGAGGCTTATAAGTGGGTTCTACAGTATTATGAACCTCCAAGTAGGTTTGCAGCGACTCGTTGCTTGTTCGCGCGCGCGCGCGGGGGGGAGGGAAGGGGCGGGGGTGGGGTTGGGGGGGATTACTAGTTACTAGACCAGAAACCAGCAGAGAGATCATCTAACAGCATCTGAGAGCCTTAGAGCCCGGTTTAGGGTTTAGGGTTTAGGGTCTAGGGTTTAGGGTTTAGGGTTTAGTGTTTAGGCTAAACTAGGGTTTAGGGTTTAGGGGTCATCTACTCGTGGGTTCTTTCTATTCAGAACTTTTTGCCGGGCGCGGCGTCGCGCGCGGTTAACTTTAACCGCTCAAAACGCCGCGCCGCCCGCAGGGCGGCGCGGCGTCAGCCGCGCCGCTCGAGGCGCCGCGACCTTTTTTAAGGGGCCTCGCAGCAAGAGCGGTCCGCCGCTCGAGGCGTCACGTCTTCAAAGGAGGCGTACGCAGCCTAACAAACCGGCACCCACAGTCCGCAAGTGGAAATGCGGCCACCAACACGCCGCTCCAAGGCAGCAATTCCAGGCCACGCCGCTCGATGTGTTACACCCTTAAAGAAGCTGTCCCCTGGCCTAGCAAACCCACCCATCAAGCTGACAAGCCACCCAAAACTGTGTCTACGGAAACAGAAGGCAACACAAGACCAAACACTGCCAAACAACCACGTCAAAAACGAAGCCTTGATCTGAACCGACCTGACTTGGATTCCCCAGCCTCACCATGCACCGGAATCGACTCCAAAAACGCACAGCTCTTTTTGTACGCGCAAAACTCTGGCAAACTTCTGACAGCTTCTGCTTTCTGCTAGCTAGTTCAAGACTCTGATCCCTTTGTTGTCAAAAATAAGCTCTTCTTCTTCTTCGGGATCGAAAAGTTCGCTTTGAACGTCCTCGCCTTCCGAATACACTGGCTCGTGCTCTTCATCACAGGAAAGTGAAAGCGGCTGAGGCGATTCTTCTGCAGGAGGCACCAAAACAGCAGGAACCTCCTCTGCAGATTTCGTTTCAGGGGCAGTGGAAGGCTTTGCCTTTCCCTTTCCAAAACTAGCCAAGCTTGCCCACGTTACGGAGCCAACGGAAGCACGCTCAAGCTTGCGCATTTCCGCAAAGACTTGAAAAGCATCCGTAAAGGAAAACCAATGCAAAAACTGAAAGGTGCGCACTCGCTCATGAAGTTGTGTCTCCATTGCCTCAGCCGTAGCAGGAGAAGGCCCCGTGGTGTTGATGGGACGCTTGCCGACCTCTCTTCGAAAGGTTGCAAAGAACCCATCCAACTTTTGGGTGCCCCCAACCCTGATCTCTTCCACCCATTGTCGCCCATCAAAGATCTTGAGCTTGAACTTTCGAGTGAACTCTGGGTGGGGCGGCTTGTGTCGGACGTTGCTGTGCGCCAGTTTCAAATGAGCAAAAGAAGGTCCTCCCAAGGCTCCATTGTACAAACATGGCAATGGCTCTTCAGAGTCCAGCTTCTTGTACGCCTTTGCACTGTCTGTGTGACAGACACTGCCAACGGCGATTCGGCTGGCTCCTGCGGAATTCACGATCGTATCCTTCAGCTCCTGGATGCTCAAAGGGCCTCCTCCACCTTGTCCGGAAGCCGTCAACTTGTCCGGGAGCTTGTGAATGAAGACTTTCGCACTTCCTCTACGAACGATCGCAATGTAACGGAGCCATAGAACCTTAGTGTAAATTGAAGATATCGCAAGCAATACAAACACTTTAACAAACGGACAAAACAAGGCCGATGAAACCCAGCAACCTTGTCGTCCAAGCCTTTGCTTCTAAAGCTGATCTCATCTAGCTCCACGTCCATCCCAGCACCACCCATCACAAGCTCTTCATTCATGCGGTCAATGATGGGCGTCAACCATTTGCGAAAATTCCCAAACAAGTCTCTGACAGTGCGGTGATCGACCCCCAGAATGAGACCAGCTTGATCCGGACTGACATTGATCGGGGACAAGAAGAGCCAAAGAGCACCAACCAAGGATCGAAGTGCCAATTTCTTGTTGAAGAGATCTGCGTCATGTGTCAATGCAGACTTTGAGCATCTGCAATTTTTTGTCTTGCACCTGTAAGAGGCATGGTCTCCCTTTCCTTCAATCCGCCAATTGGTCTCTTCGCACCATTCACACGGATCAAGTCGACCATCATGCATCAAGCCCAAGTCAACACACATCTCCAAGAGCTCAGCAGGAGTCGAACAAAGAATTCCGTCAAGTGAAAAGCGTGTCCACAAGGAAGATCTGGACAAATTTGCTTGGCGACCTCGTTTTCTTTCGGGACTCTCTTGACGAGGATCCGTGTACGGTCTTGATGGCAAGGATGAGCTGGATCCACGACTTTCAAAATGCTGCTGCAAGGCGCTTGCAGGTCGCTTTCTGGGCTTCACCTTTGGTTCTGCACTTTCAATGGGTGAGTCTTCTTCCCGAGCCCTGGACTGACGACTTTTCGGCCGAGATTTGGGCTGAGAACGGACTCGTCTGTCTCTTCCTGCAGATCCCATGGTCACTTGTCCCCCAGCTTCCCACCGAGCGCTGATTGCAGTTCTTGCCATGATCCAAAATTGCTGCAAATCAAAATGCATCAAATCAAAAGAAGCAAATGCTCAATCCGCTTCAATAGAGAAAAGGTCAGGCGATCTGAATTCTCATGTCAGTTAGAAAAAATGTAAAAAAATGGGCAGAGTTTCTGCATGCCCAACCCCCCTCCTCTTCAGGGTCATTTCCCTCCCTCCCTCACATTGACCAAAAGAGGGCGATTTGGGCCTCCGCCCCGCCCCCTTCAGGCAATGTGAAGGACAGACACAGATTTTTCAATTTGAAAAAAAATAAGAAATTCTGATGAAAAACATTTAGACACAATTGATTAATGCTCTTTTCTGTCAGACAATGCAAATGAAATTTAAAACAAGAAGTTTTGGACAAATTGAAATGGTAAAGAACATTTTCAAAAACAAAAAAACGTCTGGTGTCTAGAAGACAAAATAAAAAAATGCAACTTTGTTTTTTGAAGTGATCGTTGATTGAACTTGTTTGAATTTAATCAGGTTTCTGTTATCGTGTTTGTTTGTCTTGTCTGGATTTCTTTGAACGGTTTTGTTTTGTTGTAAATCCTAAAACAGTTGGAAACAAGCTTGTTTTTGTTTCTTGTGAAGCAGTTAGTGATGTGAAAAAATTTTTGAAATCACTTGGTGTTTATTGTGTTATGAACATCGCTCTGAAGGTGCATCGTTTGAAGCGGCTAATTTGTAGATTTAAGAGACATCCTCTAAGGTTGTAGCAAGTGGAGCGGCTGTCAAGGTGGCACACCTTCTAACAGTGCAGCATTAGAAGTGGCAAGATTAGCCGCTTCAAATGCCGCGCCCGCCAACTTTTTTGTTGGGGATACACACGGGTTAGCTCACATAGGCTTCGGGAAGCTTCGGGAGAAGCTTCCGGGAGCCGATGTTGCAGCGCTGGCCATTGTCGAAAGAAGCTTCAGCCCTCAGCCCTTAAAGGGTTTAGGGTTTGGGGTTTAGGGTTTAGGGTTCAGGGCTTAGGGTTTAGGGTTCAGGGTTCAGGGTTCAAGGTTTGGGGTGTAGGAACCCCAAACCCTAAACCCTTGAGCCTAAGTCCTCTTGGCGGTTTGTGTGTCTTATCAGAAACAAGAAGGCTTCAAGATGTCGCACAGAACCCTACAAGCCCCAAACCCCCAACTACACCTTGGTAAACTCCACAAAGCCCGAACCCTAAACCTTAAACTCTACAAACCCCAAGCCTACTTGGAGGTTGGTACTTATTAACCTGATGATAGTGTACTTGTAACCTAACTATAGCCGCTATATAGCCATGTGAGGAGGGCACTTAAGGGGCTTATAAGTGGGTTATAGGTACAGTTACACTTGGGTTATAAGCACCACGAACCTCCAAGCAGACCCCCTAACCCGAAACCCTAAACCCTAATTTAGCCTAAGCCCAAAACCCAAAACCCTAAACCCTAAACCCTAAGCCCTAAACCCTAAGCCCTAAACCCTAAACCCTAAACCCTGTGATGGTGCGCACACGGCGGGATGGCCCGAGGCGCTTGCAGAGACCACCTGTCAGACTGCGACCAGCGCCGGCCCACAGTTCATTCATACCTTTGATCCAGGGTTTGGGGTTTGGGGTTTGGGGTTTAGGGTTTGGGGTTCAGGGTTTGGGGTTTAGGGTTTCGGGTTTGGGGTTCAGGGTTTGGGTTTAGGGTTTGGGGTTTAGGGTTTGGGGTTTAGGGTTTGGGGTTTCGGGTTTGGGGTTCAGGGTTTGGGGTTTAGGGTTTGGGGTTTAGGGTTTGGGGTTTAGGGTTTGGGGTGTAGGGTTTAGGGGCAGTTTAGGGTTTCGGGATAGGGTTCAGGGTTTACGGTTTGGGGTTCAGGCTTTAGGTTTTAGGGTTTGGGCTTCAGGGTTTAGGCTAGACCTTGCCTTAAACCTACTTCTTGTAGGACATTATTATGAACACCTTTCCTGATTCCTCGATTCACCTGCAAAACGTGGAACACCAACCTCTGTTCAGGAAATACTCCGAGACCCGCGGCAAGAGAGAGAGGGGTTTAGGTGTCTGCGGTTTAGGGTTGAGGGTTCAGGGTTCAGGGTTTAGGGTTTAGGGTTTAGGGACGGTTCCCAGATTTTCTGTTTTGAGTTAGCCCCGCACCACCCCCTAGCCCCCCCCCGGCCCCCCCCCCCAACACCCCTCCCCCTCCACCCCCCGTCTCCCCCCAGTGTTTGGGGTTTAGGGTTCGGGGTTATTTAGGGTTGAGGGTTTGGGTTGGAAACTGGTCCAAGATCCGTCCCCCCCTAATTATCTGGCCCTTGTTAAGTGGAGTCTGAGAATATGGCTGGGTAGCAAAAAGACAGGGGGCTGGTGGCAACGTACATCTCACCTTAAGCTCCTCAACAGCAGCCCAATGAGAGCGCCGCATTCCATCCATCTGTCACCAAAGTGTTTATAGACATCGGGGGATGTTCCCCCTTGTACTCCCCGTCCTTACTAGGGATGATAGTAACGCCCGATTATAATCCCCATTAAGCCCAAACCCTAAACCCTAAACCCTAAACCCTAAACCCTAAACCCTAAACCCTGCTGTTAGTTTTCGGGGGGAACATCCCAACCTAGACGCTATGAGGCCTTCGGGTTCTTTAGGGTCTAGCGGCCATCCCAGACCCCAAGCTGCAAAGCGATTTTTTTCTGACAGCTTCGGCTGCAGGAGGTTTAGGGTTTAGGGTTTAGGGTTTAGGGTTTAGGGTTTAGGGTTTAGGGTCTGCTCCTCCCTTGAGGTCAAGAGGCGTGCATGGCAAGCGGACGGCTGAGATGTCCGGGTTACATACTTGACCAAATCGCCAAACCTGTTTGGGGTTGAGGGTCTAGGGCTCAGGGTTTAGGTTTTACGGTTTGGGGTCAGGGTTTAGGGTTGATAAGTTTATAAGTTTAGGGCCTCCCTGGAAATACAAGAGCTACGAGTCTCATTAAGGGCCCTATGGAGTTATAACTCGGGGAGCACCCACTTTTAGGGCTTAGGGCTTAGGGCTTAGGCTTCAGTGCTCGGGCTCGGAAAGCTTAGGGCTCAGGCCTTAGGGCTCAGGGCTCAGGGCGCAGGGCTGGCTCAGGACTCAGGGCTCAGGGCTCAGGGCTTCAGAACTGGGAATGTTTGGGCTTGGGTGTGTGGCTTCTGATTCTGGCCCTCGGGATCGCCTGCAAGTATAGCTGTACTTCTAACCCAAGTATAGCCATGTTAGGGCAATGAAGGGGCTTATAAGCGGGTTATAAGTACAGTCATAACTGCGTTCTGGAGCCTCAACTCTAAACCCCAAACCCCAAACCCCAAACCCCAAACCCCAAACCCTAAACCCTAAACTCTAAACCCTAAAGTGTAGTTGTCAATGTGGCGAATAAGTACAATGAACCTCCAAGTAAGCAGCCAGCAAGTGCCACAAACCATCCTCTGAGCCTTTTTTCGCGCCGGTAGTAGGGAAATCCATGATAAGCCTGATCAGCGCTGAACATGAATTAACCATACATCTCAGGTGCTGAAGGCGGCGTGCCCTGCTGTTGGAGAGGACACTTGCCCCCCTCCATGTCCATTTTTCAGTGCCCCTAACGTTGAGGGTTTAGGGCTTAGGGTTGCGTGTGTCAAGGACCTAATCGGGTTTAGGGTTTTGAGTTTACGGTTTAGAACTTAGACGGTTTAGGGTTAGGGATTTCGGGTTTGGGGGTCTTGGGCTTGTGGTTTAGGATTTGGGCTTTTCGATGATTGGGCTTGGGAGGGGGAGATTCCCTGTCTGACAATGTCCTTAGTAAGGGCAGGGGGCCCCAAGAGATAACCCATGGAACGACCCTAAACCCTGAACCCTAAGCCCTACACCCTAAACCCTAAACCCTAAACCCTAAACCCTAAACCCTAAACCCTAAACCCTAAACCCTAAACCCTAAACCCTAAGCCGGGTTGCCTCAGCCCTGAACCGGTACTTTCCGCCCTGACCGACGCTGTCTCCTTGGGCTTCTCCAAGCCCTACAGACCCTGAATCCTTATCCCTCTTTTTGTTTCAAGAAGGTTCCGTTATAAAGTAACCAACCCCCCCTCAAAAAGGGTGCCCTTATCTTTTAAAATGGTTCCTGGGCTACCCTAAACCCTGAACCCTAAACCCTAAACCCTAAACCCTAAACCAAAAAGCCCTCAACCCCTTCTGAGGACTTGGATTCAAGGATGGAGCGAAATGTGCGAAGAAGGGCAGCGATGCCATCGGCTTGTGTGGGCCTCAGTGGTTTAGGGTTTAGGGTTTAGGGTTTAGGGTTTAGGGCTCGGGAAATTGTTCATACCATTCCCTCATGATCTTTGTAAAGATACCGTAATAACCCCTCATAATCTTGATAAAGATACCATAATAGTAACCCCCCCCAAAGCCCAATTCTAATTATTAAAGCCCCGTTATGAGGGGTTTTAGGGTTTAGGTTAAGGGTTTGGGGTTTATAGGGTGCCATATAGGACACTCCACGAGACCCTGAACTGCTTTGCCCAGAACGTAGCGCACACCTCAAAAATCTCTGAGACCCCTAAACCCTTTAAGCCCTAAACCCTAAACCCTAAAAAACTTAAACAACCTTAACCAAAGCCTCTTAAAGCCCCCCTGCCCCGGCGTGGGGAGTGGGGGGGGAATGAGGCTGCCC